TGATGGACAAGCACCAGAATATAGATGAATGCACTTTAAAAAGATTTATTTATTTATTTTTTTAATCCTATTTTTTAGTCTGAAAAACAAATTTTCAGTTGCAAAAGCCTGAAGAACTAAGCCTTAAATGCTGCTAAAATAGTTAAGCCCATACAGAAAACCAAAACAGTTATATTAACCATATTGAATAAATTTTCAGTATTTAAACCTTAGGCTGTAGGTTATTTCAAAAGTTAATAGTTCTCCTAACTCCTGTGTTTTTATTGTGAAATGCAGAACAAACTTACTGTACTTTCTTAACACTACCAATAAAGCTTCTTATCCAGCAGATTTCAAACTATTAGCAGATGAACTAGTGGTTAGAAAGAAGAGCATTAGCTTCTTGGAGCACCTGCAAAAGTTGGTGGTTCTAAACTCTGTTACTGTCGCTGAAACAAAAAGAGGGAGATGGGTTAAAATGCAGATGACAAACACCCTAACGAAGGGATAATCAGCACAAAATAAACATATGGTTTTCATGTAAGAAGTTTAACGTTCAATAATCAATCTCACATACAATTTAAGGTTTGGCAAACTCAAAAGAAAGCTTGATTTCTGCTAACTTTCCTTATTTTAGCAGCAGATGAGGCAATTGACGCTGTTAAATTCCAGCAGGAATCCAACCTAAACATAGTTACAGCTACTAGAGAGTGGATCAGATCAGAACTGTTTTTTTTTTCTTTTTAGAAAATCTAATGCTCTAAGAATCTGGGACCAATTAGACAGATGTTCTACCTCCAATCTTGGTGAGTTTGAGTTATTTTAATAATAATTTAGCTTTATTAATCTCACAATGGAGAAATTAAATTCTGCATTTTAACCCATCCCATTGGGGAGCAGTGGGCTGCCATTGTGTGGCACCAGGGGAGAAATCGGGGGTTAAGGGTCTTACTCAGGGACCCAGAGTGCAGGCTGTAGGGCTTGAACCGGGTTCTTGCAACCTTCTCAAGAGCACAAGCACACTGCTCTAACCACTTTCCAACGAGCTGTTTTGCCCAGAGTCCGACCAAGTAAAAGTTGTTTAGAGCCGCAAAATGTAACATGACTTTTTCTAGAAAACTTTTTTTTTTTAATCTTGTATAGGAAATTAGTTGTTGCCATCTCAAACAAACAACAATTCATGTATTTTTAATGTTAAAACATATAATTTTCAAGCTGATTCATAGAAAAATGTCTCTTAAAACATATTCCTGGTTCTTTTAATCTCATTCTTTTCCATCTTATAAAAAAACGCTAAAGCTATTGATACCAGTATATATTAAAGTAAATTATTTAGCTCTTTATATACATTTTAGCCACTATTAAGAGCTGCTGGTCCAAAGAGCCAAATGTGGCTCTGGAGCCGCATGTTGCAGGCCCCTGCACTTGGCCAACACTCAGGTGTAAAGGTGTGCAAAATCCGCAGGTGTTTTGTACTAAACAAAAGGGGAAATTGTTAATCCTTTCTTGCCTATGAAATGGTGTGCTACTTTGTTAATCAACAGCATAAAACCATATTAGTCGTAACAAAATGTGGAAACTTGGAAGATTTTTAAGACGCTAGAAAGAGGAAACACGAGGAAAAAATTCACACAGGCCATAACAAGAACAGGATTTTATTAATAGTTTTGTAATACCATATATAATGCAATTGCATATCTTTGGCGAAAATAAATCTTATAAACATTTTTATCAACAGAGGTTAGCATACAAAAAAAACAACAGGTGTGTCAGTCCACTGGACATGGCAGACAACAGACAAACTGATACTGGGTTGGCAGCTTTGTCAAGTGTGAGAATTAGAACACCCAAAGGAACTGCAACATAGAATGATTTAAAATATAAATCAAAAAACATGTTCAAAACTGCTGTGCAGAAACAAAGGAGTTAATTACCTTAGCTGAGTGAAAACTCCTCTGGCCGGTCTGCAAACACACTGTTGCTTTAAGACCAACATGTCTTTACTTTTGTAGATGCTACAGAATCAGATTTTTTAAAGATGTTTTCCCATAAATACTCTGAACTCATCATAATGGAACGTTGATCTAACTTTGAACTGAAGCTGCCTTGTCGGCTTTAGCCGTTGTGATCCAGCTTTACAGCAAATCTCTAACGTTCCTGGTATCAGTGATGAGCCGAAGTTGTTTTCTTTCTAAGAGCCAAATCTGATTCTGTAAAACCAATAATCAATCGGATAAAAGTTAAAGACAGACCAAACGTATCATGAGAGTTACTCAATCAGCCTCAAACTATTTTTTACAACACAAGGATGATGAGTAAGCTTTTAATTCAAAATCCCAGCGTGCATCAGTTTTGGCAACATAAAAAACGTCCCAGATCAACGTTAATTTACTGCTTCTATTCAGCTTATTAAAAAAAGCAAAAACAAACATAAAAACTGGCAGTCATGGATTAAACTGAGGAAACCCGCTCAAAAGACATTATAATGTTGGCAAATTATGTAATCAGTGTAACAAGGGGGGGAAAAAGGGTATTGCTGTAAAACAAACAAGGGAAAAAAAAAAACTCAAGACTTCACAGAGTAAAGAACAGAAATGTGCTCAAGTCATTGTTTTCACATGACCAGTGTTTGATAGAGTATGCATTCAATTATCTCATAAATTAAAGTCATAAATAAGATGAGGATTAACGAACAAATTATTTGTTCCGTTTTTTTTCACAGCTAAACAAGACCAGTGTAAGCAAGTATTAGTTCTGGGAACCACAGCTTTTACCTCAATGGATAGTTCCCACTCTAAAGTGGCAGAAAAAAATAAAAAGTAATAAAAACAACCAGACTGGTGAGATCACCAGATTCCAGTTTCTCACAGAAAACTTAACTACAGTGTGGCAGCGAGGGAGATCCAGGTACATCTTAATAAATCAGAATATCATTCTTTGAGTAATTTATAATTATTACAGAGTGGTATGTTTAAGCATTTAGTTCTATTTATTATGAAAAACAACATTAGGTTTCTCAGAACATCAGAACACTACTGAAGGTTTAGTTAAAGAAAATGAACAAAGAAATGTTATGTTACACGGTTATGACAGCTTTCCAGGGGACGTCAGTAAAACCCTCCATAAGGAAGGTAAACCCACAAAAAGTCCCAACTAGAAAAGCTGAGATTTATTGTATGGCTAACTTTCCTTAAAATGTATCAAAGCATGTTAAACAGAAAGTTGAATGGAAGGAGAAACTATGCTTTTAAGAGGCACATAAACACATGATTTGGAGGGTTTTGAAGCAAAGCTTCCAGGAATTTGGCAGAGATTTACCGTAAAAGTAGCTAGCAGGAGTCTGAGTTTAACCTATCCCAACAAACCAATATGACCAGGATAGGGATTAAAACACTCACTTTCCCCTCTGAGTCAGAGACTCTGAAAGCGTACTGCCTGGACTAAAGAGAAAAAATATTTGAGCTGCTCGGTGGTGCAATATTACCATTTCAAACAAAAAGTAAATTTAGTGCTGTTTTAACTAGCATGGTTTCACTGCCACTAACCTAACCATCCTATACAGCAAAGAGAGGAGCATCATGAGGAGAACTGGCAACAATGCAGATAAGCAGAAGAGCTCTGTTAAAGCAACCTGGGCTTTCCTACCACCTCAGCAGAGCCACATGCTGATCAAGCCCTGGCTTCTCTGCACAGATGCAGTAATTCATGCAGAAAACAGCTGCGGCCAGTTCTTAGAGCATATACTGGACATAAGCTAATATTTTATTTAAATTAATTCATTTTTAAATCTATCAGAAACTTTATTTTGGGATGTCAATTGTTTTAAGCCATATTTGGAAAAAAAAGGAATGAAAAAACATCACTCTGCATGGTATTAAGCCACAAATATTTCACTTTTTGAAATTGAATTTGTAAAATAAACACAATGATATTCTTATTTATTAAGAGGCACCGGCTCAGAGACCATAGCCCCCTTTTTTTTTGAAGTTCGTGGCACAAATGAAATAAAAAAAAAAAAAGGTTTGGCAACACCCACATATGCTTCACTGGCTGTTTCATTGAGGTAAAACATCCACATTTTTCACTTATTGACCCTCATTCCTGCAGAGATTACCATGAATCCTGTTAGTCTGCAGCCTTGCCAAATGCTCCAACATAACAACTGCGGTGATCGACGACTTCCCTTCTGAGAGCTGGCTGCAATCAGCTGACACCAACTTTACAAGCTTGTGGGAAGAGTGTGCACTTCCTTATTTTGTTCTAGCGGGAAGAGCAACGATGAAACACTCCCTGTCAGATGGCCCTGAGGTCAGCACTGCTCTATAGTAACTTGCTTAAAGTGACTGTAAATTTAAGCTTTCGCTCTCCCCCCATGGACTGTACTATAACAGTGGATCTCTTCATAAAAACTGATACTTTAAGCTGCAAATTATATTTGCTTCAGAAGATAAACAAGCCCATGGTGCAAAATTCATAAAGGGGATTAGGACATCATGGTTCTGGTTCCCAGAGTCGGTCTGATCCGCATTGTTTTTTTAACTGGTGCCGCTTTGGTCAAGAAAGTAAGAGCATGGATTTTGGCTGCTAAGGACCCCGATCTTCTGGGTCGGGTTGAAAAAAGGGTGAGCTATGTTACAGATGTGCAACAATAAAAATCTGTGCAGGGAAACCCATGAAAATGCTGCTAGGAGTCTGACGTTGCATGGCAGTCAGATGTTAACCAAACATGAAAATGTGCCCTGGGTTTACACTACAAAATTATTTACTCAAAGCAGTAATGCTAAGTTGTTTAACTGAATTTGGCAGCTGTGGAGAAATACTGCTTTCACATCCTGAAAAAGAGCCACAGTTTGTGTGCAGTAAGTGGATGGCCTACAGAGAATAAAATACTCCTCCATTTATTTTCTTTTATGAAAACCTGATCTGGCATACTCGACTTTTCAATAAAAAGGATGAAAAATAAAAAACTTAAGGTTGTGGATTTATTATTGCATGTTTTAAGAGGATTCAAAGAGAAAGGGTTGCTTTCCAAATAGTGGCATTACTTTGTTGTTGTTGTTGTTTGTTTAGTTTTTTTTTTCTATCTTGTAGCACAAAGAGGAGAAACTGATAACACCAGGAGGTTAGGCTTTGTCTGTTACAAACATGCACTCATTCGCTTCATAAATAGATTCACTTGGAAGAGGATACAGTTTGAGGAGGAAGCATGCAACGCTTTGAGTTAGAAAAACCTTAAGCTTTTTTCCCCATTTTTTGAATTTTTTTTTTGTCTTTGAAAGAAATTCTTGAATCACAGTCTTCGAAATCTGACAAAAACAGGCAGGTCATTTTTGGATAGGTACTTTTTGATGGATCTCCACAGCCCAAACATCCGCTCCCCCTCCCGAGTTACTCTATATGGCTTTGTTCTCCCGTGTGAACGATACTATTGCCATTTGTTAGTTGGACGAGGACGCTCCCAACCAAAAGAGGCTCAAAATGGCCAGTGAACGATCAGGTGAGGAGAAGGAGGCACAAGATCGGGAGTCAGGGGTTAGGATTCACAGGGACCAGAGTTTATTGGGGTGAAGGGAACTTCATTTCCTGTTAAGTTTTGTGCTTTTGACAGTACGTTTGGACCCCTCTGTACAGCTGCGTATACCAGCGAGGTGTAGCAACGACCCTGCCGCCTCTTTTAGCTCCTCGTCCAGCTCTGGTTTGACCTCGCGTCGGGGTCGCTTGCTGATGGGCCACTTGATGGCGGTTGGACGTCGGGAAGTCTGCTGGACAGCCCTCTCGTCCCAGAGGTCGGAGTCCTCGTCGCTGTGGAAACCCTCGCTGCCAGCGCGCCGTGACTGCCTAGGCCCGCAGCCGCCTTCCTCCAGGGAGGAGAGAGAGGAGGAGGAGGAGCGGGAGGAGCAGCGCTGCAGGGCTGCACTGCTGTAGTTGTGGTCCTGCTTTGGATCACTGCTCACCAGCACAGAGTCGGGTCGGGAGAGGTCCAGCGGCCCATCAGAGTTACCTGAACAGAGCGGTGGAAGCAAGAAATGATGGTTATTTGACATTCTGGGAGAAAAAAAAATCAAACTTGACCCACACATGCAAGTTTAAACATGTTCTTTATTGTGACAGTATAAAGCAGAAGGACGTTTTTCTTCATCTATAATCAATAAGGAAACCTTTATTTACTCAGAAGTGTCTTAATTTCCCCAGCAACTTTAAAACTGTCTAAAACTACCCACTTTGATTAGAAAAAACACCCTGTAGAAAAGCTTTATGGTTCAATAAGAAAAAGACTAAGCAGTTTCCTATAAAACAAAATAAGTTTCAACGAGTACAGATTAGACTTTCAAACCATTTGTACCAACTGTCAAGCATGGTGGTGGCAGCTTTATGTCCAGAATCTGTTTATCAATTAGAGGAACTTGCAAACTGAGAGGTTCGGAATACCGGTAACAAAAATCAATAAAAAAATACTTTACTGATACTTTTTATACGTATAAATTATATAAACTTTAATTGGAAAAAGTTAAATAATACCCAAAGATTCAGAAGCTGACCGGGAAACTCAGCTCTGTGTCAATTAATACAAACTTTCCCACACCTAATTAGAAAAGTGGTTGAATGTCCAACCAGAAATATGCAAGAAGCTTGTTAAGCGCAATGAAATAGGACAGCACAACATATCACAAATAACCATATTGCATTAACACTGTAAGCACAACGAGAACTAAGAAGTACTTCCACTCCAATAAATATTTGCTAATTATTATTTAAGATGTTTTGTGACATTTACCAACATGATTGCACACCTTCCTAATATTGTGCAACCTTAGAAGAAAAAGTGGTTTCTCTGCAACTTTCTGAGGGATATTTAACCAAATATTGGAGGTGCATACAAGTAAAAATGTGTGTTTATGATTGGATATTTTTTGAACACTGCTGATTGTGAAGAGGATGACTCCCAGAGTAAAACCCTGAAATACGTTTAAACAGATACAGACATATAAAGGCACAGACTCGGCAAAGAAGCAACATAAAAAGTAAGCAATGACAGGGTGGTATGAAAAAGACCGAAAACCGATTGATGAGTGTGCATTCTCTTACATGGGTCAACGTGGTGCCCAGGGGCAGAGTTTAAGAGCATCATGGCAGTGGCAGCATCAATGTCAGACTCTGGAAGAGGAGAAAACATGCATGATGGTCAAATCCTACGCCGTGGAAGCATGGGAGAATGGAATCTCGACTAGGACTGGATGACTGGGCAAAGTCAGGAGTTCTACTCAACAAGCAAGGAGACCCCTAAGGGGGCGGGGGTAAAAAAAAAACAAAAAAAAAAAAAAAAAAAAAGCTACTGACAGCCAGAGCACATCTGATCCTTCCAGACCTGACAATGTGTCTGAAAGCCTCATCGCTCACTTCTGCAGCTCTAAATTATTAATGATTACACTGAGACTGAGTGCTCGACACCGCGCACCAGCAAAACCTCTGCTTGTCGTCAAGGTTACAAATCCAAGAAGCTAAAAAAGGGGGGTGGGGGTGGCAAGATCGATTGTGAGCTCTCAGTGTTGTGGTGTACATGAGGCATCCATGAGCTAAAAGCAACACGCCAAACCGGGAGTCGAAGGGCAAAAAAGAACAGATGCTGAATGTGGCTGAGACTGAAATATGTAAAATCAAAGAACTAATGAAAACATATCACAGACAGATGTTGATTAGGACGATGTTGATGAAAATACGGTCGCTGGCTTTTTACAGCGCTGACAGAACGACACAAACTAAAAGAGTTTGGTTCAGTCTCACCTTTGAATGAGCAGCCTTGTAGAAAGAGATGGCGAGGAGGTGAGGAGGCACTGCAAAACAACACATGTTGACTTTAAAGAGACTTTGAAATAGAATACATATTTTATAAAAGATACATATATTAAGGTTGCTTTTGCTTTGTCTCAGTGAGAAGGACTTCCTGTAACACTTTTACTGTAATTGTCAGTTTACCTGGGTGGGGAGGCGGGTGGCGTACAGAAGGCATGAACGGCTGGGAAGTGCTGCTTCTTAAGAGCTTGGATTAAGTTGGGGCGATACTCTGGGTCAACACACCAGAGGGAACCTTTTCCATTGGCCTGTGGGGGCAAACAAATGGATCCGGTGACTACTTCCCATTTATTCGTCCAACTAAGAGGCATTGAACGTTAATGCAAGACTTCCTAACCGGAAACTTTTCAATCATACTCAGTTCGTTCTTACATCACTGATTAGAGAGGGAAAAAGAACCAGTGTTAAGTATTTAAACAGCCAACTTTTATAAATATTGACTCAGTTCTACTGGAATTTTGCCTTCAACATGTTTTAATGACCTTTGAACTTTATTTTAACCTTAATGTACTTGACTGGAATTCTATCAGAGAGAACCATACAACAGTGTATAAAGAACTGTATAGGGAAGGCAAATATGGTTTTTAAGATTAATCATAAATGTAATAATGAAGAGTATGGAGTTAGTTTTCCTTTGCAAAACAAAAGAATGTAATATTTACTAGGACTAAAGTTTAAAGTCTGAAACTTCAGTCCTTGAGAGCTGCTGTCCTGCAACGGTTAAATTGGTCTCCGAGTCCAACATGAGCTAATTAGACAAGCTCAGGTAAGCTCAGCTGAAATACATCAAAATTTAGCTCCTATTCCTTCATCCTTCTTGGAGTCAACAGTAGAGATATGGCGGGTAGGAGAGGAACTCCAGACTGCTGTGCTGATTCCAGACAGACGAAGCCGTTCCAGACATCATTGTGCAACAGAAACACACATGGGTAATGTTTGTGAAACCGGGACTACAGCCTGTTACAGGTTGTTCTCCAGGACTGTCTGCTAAATCAAAAGTTACAGAAATGAACAGCCGAAGCTCTCCATCATAAAACCCAAAACATATGAAGGTGTTAACATTAGCATTCATAACATGGAGGACATGTGAAGTAATTATGTGTTTTCGTTAAATCCTGTGAGGTGGGATGCACCTATACGCTCTGTCATGCAAAGGATTGTGGGATTCCTTATAGCTCCTAAGTGCCAGATTGGAACGGCGGGAGGTCCCTGTGCAACACGAACTATCAATAGGAAGCATCCTGCTTCCTTTTCCTACCGCCTTCCTTACTGCCAGCAATACTCAGACAGCACTTATGATGACTGCTGACTCACTTCTGCTTAGGCTTAACAGTCCTTACTAATGTGCTGTATTCAGATGGACCTGTTGACCTTCGGCTAGTGAGGTAGCTTAACCATTTGATTTAAGTGTGCAGGACAAGGCATCTAGATGTTTGCCTTATTGGTTAAAATTCCTCTATTTAAAGAACAAGAAAGTAAAAGCACTCTACCTACCACAGAATCTCAATTAAACTGAGGTCTGCGCTTTGACTAGACCATTCTGACACATCTATATTTATATTCAAACCATTTTAGGTTTAATTATATGTTAGGAGTTCTGGTGCACCTGTGAGGAGAGCCTCTGCTCCTGTATCAGAGTTCCTGCAGCCTCTTACAGGTTTTTCTCCAGGACAGTCAGGTATTTCTGCTCATCCGTCTCTCCAACTCTGACCACCGTTTGTTCACCTGAACTGACGACCACTCTCATTAGTTTCAGCCTTTTCAGCTGAAGGATCAAACCGTTTTTTGGAGATGTTTAAAGCTTGAGATTTGATTTCATACCCTAAACCTGCTTTAAAATTGCCTGCAACTTTGTCCCTGACCTGTTGATGCTGTTCAATGTTCTCTAATAAACCTGTTATGACTTTAAAAAAACAGCTGTACTTGTACTGAGAAGTAATGATACGGATGAGGACAGTATATCCAGTTCAGGTAGCAATTTCGGAGAACTGACAGCAGTGAAGGAGGATCAGAGGAAAGGGATAACGCACAATAGTTAATTTTTATTTATAACAAAATTGTATGAATAAGTTAGCATTTAATTTAAGTGATGAGAAAGTAAAATAGCTGATGAATGAAAAAATTGAAAAATCTACTGTAAAGAACATAAAAAATATAAGTTTAAGATGCAAGGGGACAGCCCTGTATAAAAAAAAAAGGATTGATCTTATCCAAACAAGATGCATAATTACACAATTTAACAACAGCCCCACCTCAAAATGAACAGCCAAACAATGGTTCTCCCATTCACAAACTGTGGAAAATCTAACCCAAACAGGCCTCTGCAAACAGGAAGCCTCAGTTCAACTGTGTTACAGCAACAGCCAGAGTGATGAGAGCAGGACTGTGCGCCGCTTGATCTGATAGTGGCGTATTCTGGGCCTGTTACGGGAGAACAGAGCGAGGCAAAGGAGGAGAAGAATAACCTTGACTCAGATTACCAACCGGCTCTGATGCAGGAAGAAGGAAATGTCTCCATGGCAACGAAAAACCACCAGCCAGTGTCATGTGAAACTGGTGCTGGTGTCTCAGCTCAGACTCGTACTGTGCACCTGCATGCTGAGCAGCCTGCACTGCTCGACGCCGCTACTAACAGCCGTCTCCTCACAAGGTGGGAAAAAATATCAGGTGTTGGCCAAACACAGCCCAGGTACTGCAGGCTCAACCTGCACCCACACAGCACTAAGCTGGAGGAGCTGGTGATAGTTAAAGCTATGCAAACTGATTTCAAAGCTTATGGAGTAAATGATGGTTCATTAGGGAGTATTATCCACTATTGGTTAGGATCGTTCCACATGAAGTAAAGTGCTACAGAGCAGCAGTAGCCTTCCTCCCTCCATGCCACCATACAACAGTGCACAAACTGTATTACACATTATTATTACCTGAAATGGAGTGTAATTTTGCATGTTTCAAAGAATAGAAACCACTACTTAAACTACAATAAGAATCAGCATGTTAACTTGGAAAACCTTATTAAGATCCTTCAAAGGCATTTAAAAAAGGTGTTAACAGACTGCATGGAGTAACACACCAAGCAATTTCAATGGTGTTTTTTTTATTATAACAAATTAGAAAGCATTGATTTTTTAAAATAGGATGAGTCTGATTGCCGTTTGCAACAAGCAGACTAGACAAAGAAATAAAAAAAAGTGGCAGTGGGCGCTCTGCTCATGATACAGACCTAAATATTGAAAATACAAGATCTCATTGCACATTACTCCAAACACACAGCCTTATGCTGAAACTAGGTTATGGAGTGAGGATACTTTTCTTTAACAGGGACAGAGAGGGTTTTTGGACAAAATACAGGGAGCTAAAGCTCATTGGGGGAGAAAATTAGTTAGAGGCTGAAAAAACCCAGAGACCAGCAGAAGGTTCACTTCCCAGCAGGACAGTGACCCTAAACATGAAGTTATTACTACAATTACATAACTTCAACACATATCTATTGTTGGAAAGGGCCAACAAATGTCCAGTTAAAGTTAGACACACTGTATCTAATCTGACTAAACTTGACGAATTTAGAAAAAAAAAAGATAAAACAGATGAAAATTAATTAAGAAAATAAAAATAAATCCTGTTGTAAATACTTGCCAAAGTACTTGGAATACAAAGTAGTTCTGCACAGTAGTGAATTAGGAGACTAAATACACAACCAAACTCCACTTTTAGATAACTAAAGTCACAAACAGGGCATCAACCCCTCCCCCTTTTATAAGGATGCTGTATTAATGAAATAAAAAAATATTTTGTTTATTCTTTTTACTTGACCCAATATTAAGATGTATGTGTTGGTATATTTCTGACTGGAATTTTCAGTTTGGAAACATCATTTGTGACGAATGGGAAACCCATGCTGGAAAACTGAACTTTTAAAGCAACATAATGAAGAAAGAGGGAAAAAGATTTAATTCATAAGATCTGAATGATTTGGCCTTAACCAGATCTAAAATTATTCAAATGTCATCTCAAGAATACAACACCACAAACCAGAGATTATACGGGTCACAAATACTAAGAAAGTAAAAATTACCTAAGTTTGTTTAAAACTAAAATTGAATTCCAATGAAACATATTAACAAAATGTACAAATCTTAGAAATCAATCGTTTTTCATTCTGATCACTATTTCTGCTCTCAGATGTTTCTTCAGTTAAATTCTCTACAAGGCCTGAGCTCTACGTCGCCCTCATGCTCTTATCTGTTCAATTCATCTTTTTTTCTAAATATCAGCTTAATAAAGAATTATCTTTTTTTTTATGGGACCATGTTTGATACATTGAAACGTGAATGTATGTTACTAAAAATGTTTAACGTTGCTTGCGAGAATAGTTCACGGCAGATGTGTGATTTTTCTTTTTGCACCATCACACCATGCTAATTTTTCAAGCAAGACAGCATCTTAAATAGACATAAATAACAGTAGGCATTGCTGCTGCAGCAACTCTTATTCACCTCCTTCCCTTAATTTGGCCACTATGAGTTCAACAGCTGGACACCGGACCAAAATAGTTGCACTACCTGGAGGTGCTTCTCGAGATAACATCCTTTATTAGTGCGCCGTGTTTGCGTTTCCTCTGTAGGAGTATCTGTAATCTTGACCGGATTCCACTCTTATCGCAGCAAAGTCACAGAGGTCTCTGCAGCTGCGTCAAAGCTTAGTACTCTGCCACATGAGCTGTGCTGCAGCTTTAAGCTGCCCGCTTTCTGCCTTTACAAACAGCCACGTCTGTGGAATTATACTAATATCAAATAAGGTCATACTTTATATCAGTATATTTCAGTAAAATTTAGTTTTTAATAAATTAGAATATAACTGAAAAGAAAATATACATCAGTAATTCAATTCAAATAGCTAAACCTGTGTAGGATATTTATTATTTCACATGAGATGTCTTTTAAAGTGTTTCTTTTTTTTTTTTATCTTTAGTGATTAAGAATTCCAGCTATTTCCTCAGAAAAACTAAACAGTATTTAAGACCAAAATAAACTGAAATATTTTGTTATGGTCCACAGTCACAGGGAAGACTGCTGATTCCACAATTATCAAGCAAGCGGTCAGTAAAATCCTCCATAACAACGATAAGCCTCAATAGGTCACTGCTGTAAAAGATGGCCATTCATAGAACACTAACCTAGCAATGTCATGGAAAACTAATTGGAAGGAGAAACTGTAAAAAATGTGTACAAGCAACAGTGATAACCTTTAGAAACAAAACCCAGCAAGAGTTTGGGGAACATTTAAGAAGTGTGAACTACATCTGCTACATTCATTTTATTAAGCTCTTCTTCAACCCCAGAGTTGTTCTAGACCTTCTATATATGATTAATAATAAGAAATATCAGAGCTGTAGCTCAGTTTGCTGAATCGTCTGTTCAGGTGAACCAAGATTGATCATTAATCTCCCAAATTGTAGAAGATGATGGGAGAGGCTGGACATGTACGTTGTTCATGGGTCAGTGTGAGGTCTCACAGTTGCTGAGGATTCAGCTGAGGATCTGCTGGTCTATTCATTTCTATTAAGGTCTAATTCAGCTCAGACATCTACCAGTTAAATTTAGAGCACATCATGCTCCCCTCTGCTGACAAGTTCAATGATGGAACTGATTTCATTTTCAAATTGAACTTGGCTCCTACCTACAGTGTCAAACACCTGCTTTAAAGACCATAGTATGTGTTAGGCTTGTCCCGATCCGATCCACGTATCGGATCGGGACGCCGATATTGGCAAAAAAATGCGTATCGGCAAAGCATGTAAAATGCCGATCCAGTTTTTAAAAAAAAATCCGGTCCGTATTTTCCAGTTTCGCTGATTGAAACGATCCATTCCACTATTTTGCGCCAGTGTTTCCCTGTTTTGCATTTTTATTAAAACTTACAGTAATACTTGCACTTTTAACTGTTTACGGTTTTACTGTTCACTGTGCAATTTCAGATTGCTATTCGTAATTTTGTCCAGTTTGTGTTTATCTCTTAATAAACAGGTAAGTTTGTTGTTACAGAATTGTGTTTTATTCAATGTTGTTACAGCATTGTGTTTTATTCAATCTCACCTAATTTAGCTGGCTAGATGTTATCAAGAGTACTAAAACCCTTTTCAACATGAGTCTTACAACCAAGGCTAAATACTTTAACTTAAACTTAAATACATGCTCGGATAGGCTGGTATCGGCCAGTATCGGTATCGGATCGGAAGTCCAAAAACAATATCGGTATTGGATCGGAAGTGCAAAAACCTGGATTGGGACATCTCTAGTATGTGTACATCTTTTTTTTTTTTTTACGGTCATTACACTTTCACTTTCAAGTACAGAGTAACAAAATGTACTCTCTGCATTTCACCCTTCCCCTTGGGGAGCAGTTAGTTGCCGTTGTGCGGATCCAAGCACAATGCTGTAACCACTAGGCCACCTCTCCCCTATAAATTAGAGCACCTGGTGTTATTCCTTCACAACTTGGACATATGCTTACAAGTCATGTCCAATGGATATTCACCCCAAATTACCAACAAACCCACTTGTACTTATAGATTCAATCAGCACAGCTTGCCAATGTGGATGTAAGATGCAGATAAGCTGCTATTAAAGCTACCTTCAACAGTATTGATGCAGCAATTCATGCAAAAGGAGCCCCCCTCCTTCTCATTGTGAAAATTCACCTTCTTCTGTGGGTTTTAATACAATCAGGAGAAACACCTTTCTGACCTACCTTTCCCAAACTCCTGTCCACCTTGCGGAAGCATTTATTTAGAGACAAGTTGTGACGGACTGAGTTCTTCCAGCCTGTGGGAGCGTTGGAGAAATACGGGAAGTGCTCCAGAATCCATCCGTAGATCTCTTTAACAGGCAGTGACTTGCTGGGAGATTGCTCGATGGCCATGTAGATGAGGAGGGAAAATGAGAAAGGGGGCTTCGATTTTAGCGAGTCCCGATCCCTGCCCCTGTTTTGTGACGAAGGTGACGAGGATGACGATGCCCCCTGGTTTGGCTTGTAGTCTCCTTCGATGTCGAAGAGGGGGCTGCCGCTTGTCTGTGCCTCTGGGCCCCCTAGAGTGAAGTTCTGAAGCAGGTTCTCATGGAGCCAGTTGAGGTTGGTGAGCTCCTCATCCTCTGTACCTGAAGCGCGATCCACACTTGTTGCCAGCGGACTGGATGCACACTCTGCCTCAGGCAGGGTTCCCACACCGCAGACACCTCTGAGGCCCGTCCGCTCGTCCTGCATACCCGGAATTTCCGTTTTCTTATCTGGTGACATCCCAATGATTGGACCCATTAAACCACAGAGTTCTGGAGGAAGAAGAGACAGGTTGTTAGTGCTGAGCTTTGACAGTAAAGCCATCTTAAAATAGGATGCGCACAACTCCGTGCAACATTTCCATGCAATGGCCTCATTTTCTAATGTTTTCCGAGAGGCCCATCACCTGTGACCATCTCTACCGCAGATTTCTATCTGCTCCTCTCCTTCATGCCTGAATAGAACGAAAAGGGCTCTTAGCCCCACACCGCCTTCTCTCAACTCCTATTGAGGACCTTCGAGGACACCATCTCAAGCAACTCAACTGACTTAAGGCTCCACTCCTCAACACCCACCTCATTTCCAGCCAAGATTCAGCTGCTCATTATGTGTAAATGAGCAGGAGACCATCAGTCACTGCAGGCCTGCGTCGCACAGAGTGGATGGCTCTTAAAAACTGCTCAGTATTCAGCAAGGATCAAGTCTCAGTTAGTTGCATGCAAGATTAAGTGGCATGAAGAGGCCGCAAATCCGGGAGATATCAGCCATTTAACGGCACAACAAAATTCAACCCTAGTAGTGATTTATCATTAATAAATGCAACCCAAGTACCCTTATTTAGACAATGACACTTGTGCTTTACAATGGCAGTGAGGAAGCAGGTTATCTTAAGCAGAAGTTAAGATCTTATCACAGCTTTTCATTAAATTTCAACTATTAAATGCTAAAAAGAGCCGGACAAACACAAAGACACATTTACTACTGGATATTAAACAAGTCTTTACTAAAGATGGACGGGGGAAAAAAATTAATTAGTCAAAATCAACAAGTTTTTTACTCAATCGAATCTTTTATTGTGTTAAAGACAACATTTCTAGGCACCATATGTTGGCATCAAAAACACCATCGATGTAGATGCCACTACTGAGGGAATAAGACTCACTGTGAACATAGGGTGACAGTATGGCATTAGTTTTGAGAATATTACAACATAACAATACTACCCAGCAGAATGAACGATTGCTCCCTTTGGTTACTGCCATCTTGTGAAACAAAGGAAATCTTTTATGGATGTAAAGGTAAAAGCTATACTTGTTACACTCAATATCTATGCAGGAGCCTTTTATTTTAAAGTCTTTAAGGTAGTTGTGTTTTTTCAGATGCAGCCCTGTTCTATATACAGATTCAACTAGAAAAGACTAAGGAAGGCAAACAACTTTAGATCAGGAGCAGCAGAGGGAGGCTCCTACACCTTTTGTTTAAACATGATACAAACAACTGGGAAGCACTGGGAAAACGGCTCCCAGCTTACCATTAACCATTGAAGCTGATGTCATATTTGCAAACTCCTATCAGGACTTAACTAAAGGGGAAAAAAAATCTGAAATCTGAAATCCTAGACTGATCAATTCTCAATGGAATAATTATGCAGAACAAGTGATTCTTCAAAATAGTTGGAGATTTATAAAAGCATTTATGAAAAAAGATAGCGGGACAATATCAAGGGGCTTTGTAAATAGCATCTCCTTAGATTTAAACTAACATAAATACCCACTTAATCCCTCTTTGAGAAAACCAAAAGTAACTGGTGATTTTTAGTTTTCCTCCTGAAAATGCCAAAACCTCATAAACCCAGTATGATGTACCATTTCATCTTGAAAGAAGGCTATATATTTATATTCCATCTTAACAGTTAGCTAGTATTGATATCAGCAAAGTTTAGAGGACATAATATTCTCTAAAAGACGCTGAGACATTTCTGTGTCTTATTCCGGCTGCCAGAGAGCAAGAGAGAGCTCAACACACAAGGCCAGGTTTAAATTGATAAAAGTGATCCATTTTTATTCTTCTAAGCATTTAATATCTGTCACCTAACATGATACATCTAATTTTAAGAGATACGTTTTATATCAAATATCTGTAGATAAAAGATTCAGCAATGCTTCACCTGCTAAAACTGCAACCCACTCATTTTAGGATCTAATGGTTTAGATTGACCTTAAATTATCAGTAAAACCCTGAGGTGCAACAGCCACTCTCTACATCCAGAATGTTCTCTCCTCTGCTCTTAACATAAATAATTAAGGACCACTTATGGAGTAGGAATATTTTTTAATAATATCTTTTCCAATTTTTTAAATAGAGAAGTACTAATCGACTAAAATCGGTTTTGTAAACAAAATTGTTGATAGAAAATGTGCTCCAGAACTCTGATTGGTGCGATCCTGGCGTTTGTCATGCTGATTTTTTTTTAAACCAGAAGTGATGGTGTAGCACACTGCTTAGTGAGGCCAAGAGCATAAAGAGCTCACTCTTTGTCTCGGCTCACAACAAGCTTTATGCCCCAGTTGTCACCATGACAACCATGTCATCCCTTCAACATGACCAAAAATCCCATAAACAAGAGTCGGAAAGAATAAAAGTAATCCATGTTGCTGGCTGACACAGACGATGACTGCACTCCAATTGGTTTAAACCAATTCTAAACATTATCCTCCATTGTCATCTCAGACCATGTCACACTGGTCTGAGAGGTCATAGTTCTGGATTGAAGTCAAGAAGGCTGGAGAGGTGAAGAAGCGGTGTGCGGTGGAGAGCCATGTCTTTCATTTCTGCGATAGGCTAGGAATTGGGTCAAACTCAAGAGTGTATGGTGGAGACAGGAGAGGGAGTGAGCATACACATTAATCAGTTTGTAAAAGCCAGTCAGTGAGAACGGGGCTGGGGGGGGGAGGTCAGTGCTTTTACAGACTAACCTCGACTCTCACTGAGCAGATAAACATACAGCAGACTAACGTTCTAATCTGATTTATTTTGCCTGATAAGGATGTGTTGTTTTTACATCCATACTAATAAAACATCTTGCTTTTCTCATGTTGTTGTTGTCATACATCTAACTATAACTATTGCAAAACAGTATTGCATTGCTGCACTGCACATACGGTACTTCTGCAATTTGGTGGAAACTAAAAAAAAAGACAAGTTTCCAAAGACAAATGGAGAGACTCCTTGAGCAAACAACGAGATGAGAATAGGACTAACTGGAAAAAATGATTTGAAAAAAGATAAAATAAATAAATAAATAAAACAGAGAACAAGTGGTACGAAGGTAGGCTGAGCAACTTTTCCAGTCTGTGATGAATCACAGCTCTCAGGCATGAGGACTGCCCGTTTCTGTCACCAGAAAATATCACAGATATCCCTCGACAGCTTTTTCTTCACGATTTAATTGACAACACAGTAAAAAGATCTAAAAGTCCACATTCTCAGACAAAAAACTGTATTTTCAGCTTCTGAAAAGACTAAAAACTATAGAAAAGGGTTTTCATTCTGTTATAATAAACCCCAGAGATGAGTCATCTTACCTGATTTCTTAAAAAGCACATTGACAATAGATCTGTCTGCACAGGCCAAAGGTCTGCCTGAGACTATAAAGTCAGGTACTGTAAGGTAGCTATACATGTCTCTTTCTGTATATCAATAAAAGACAGAAAAAGATATTAGAGAGATAAAGAGATCAAGCTCAGTTGCTGTATGCTTAAGATCTTAAGCTGCTGAATAGTTTCTATGAATTTTCTCAGTCTGGAACAAAACTAATACATGTTCTTCATCATACATTTCCTACAAATTAAAGTCCCATGAATAAAATGCCAGAGAAAAGGTAAAAAAAATTAAGCAGAGCAAAGACAGCACTGCCCCTCCCCCACTTGTTCCTGATCTCTGCCAGTCAGCAGGCTAAATGAAGACCACAATCCTCTTCCCTGGTCACATCACCTGACAAGCTGTATGAATTAGGAGTATTTTAATGGACCCACCACCACGATCCCTCAGGTCTCCTAAAACAAGCCTTTAGGTTCTGCTCAATTTAATGGCCCAAAACCACACTTTTACTGAAGTCTATCAAAACTGTACAAATGTGCTTGAGTCAAATAGATTTTTTATCTTCCTACGGCACTTTTGTTGTTGCAATTTTTTTTGTTTTTCTGTGAAACAAATGGCCTTTATTCCATGTTATACAAAAAAAAAAGAGGTAGAGAGAGAAAGGATGACATGAAAACATACTTTTGGTTTCTTCTTTCTTGTTTTGCTGTAGGATATTTGTTCATTTAGCCTTATTGGCACTAACTAAAATCTATAGGAAACATCACTGCATTTCCTACATCCTTTAAAACAAAATCACCTATATTTACTTAAGGTTTTCTGCACTTCTATCCTAAATCCTCCTGTTACTATGAGAAGCAAAATGTATATAGAATATATATCTGTACATTAGGTAATAAAAGTAACACCTAAATCAGGTAGCTTTTCCATCTGGAGTCAGTCCATTAAAATAAAGTTGTGAATAAGTTCTGGTATAATTATAACACTCAGTCACTCTGTCAAACAAATGTGCAGTGGAAGGATTAATTCTAGCCTTTTTAGATCAAATCTGTTTGATCAAGTTTTACAACATTGTTGGAAATTTTAATTTGACCACCACGACAGCCAGTTTTGCAATATTGTTTTGCAAAAAGATCATTACAACCGACCTAATCTTACTGTTTGTCCTGACACTTTCTGATGACAAGAAGGTCAAACTATACCAGACACGTACTCAGGTGTGGCCAAACAAACTTGAGAGTGCTGTCTCAATGGATGAAAAGGTTTATCCAAGCAGTCCGCTGTGAACAACCCACATGGCTCTTGTTTCTACTTAAACAGTCCATGACTGCCTGTAAACCTGGTGGAGTTTTATGGGAGAGGGAGGCTGTGAAGTTATAAAATGAGTAAAGCAATTGGTCCAAATGCCAGAGGTACTTACAAATAGTGATGCTGATAGAAGCATGTAGCCATCAGCTCTCTCTTTAACTGGTCTGACTTCTTTGAGTAAACAAACTAGTGTAAACCCATCACTGTCGATTCCTTTTTCTAAGCACTTTTGGTACATTAACTAATTAAATAACCACATATACAGATTTATCCAAATGTACATGTTTTTCTGATTCAGATTAGTGTCATGACAATTTACAGATTATGACCACCAATTAGATTATCTACCACATTTCAATAGATT